CCTTTTTGTTCCTCATCGTAAAGTATGCAATCCATAAAATCCCCAAATCGAGGTATAAGTCCCAAAAATACAAGCAATCGAACATCAAACCAAAACAAAGCAAACGAAGATTACAGATTACCTCGTGGCCATCATGGCATACGAGGCTACAAGCAGTGCAAACCCCAGCGCTGCCATTGGGAACACAAGTTAGGCAAGAAAAGATCGCCTGCCTCTTCATGTACCCGTTAGGGTAAGTGCACTCCTTGCCCTCGTCCCCTCCAAGTACCAAATCAGCCTCCTAGGGTTTCAAATCAAAGTACCCAAAGTCAACGATCCATAAACTAAAGAACAAAACTTGGATAGAAGAGACCGTTACCAGCTCCTCCGCCTCGAGTTTCTCCATGTATTCGTTCATCGTATAAGTCTGCTCGTTCTCGTTCTCGTCATCGAAAGCATCCGCCATGTTGAGAGAGAGAGAGAGGAGAAACCCTAACCCTAATTCGAGAATAGAAAGAAATGACTTTGGGGGAAAGAAAGAGAGGTTTTTATTTTTTTGGGTTTTTTTTAAGGGCACGGAATGGATCAGAGAGGGGAAAAGGGGTGCGCGAGGAGAGAGAAGGGATTTTAAGAGTGTTCAGTGAATAAAAGCGCGCATAGGCGGGAAAGTAAAAGATCACAATTCACAAATAAAATGCGTGAGAAGATGCAAAGTAATTTTGTTTTGATCATTTGGTGAAGATTATAATTTTTTTTCATTATGGGCAAAATAGATATATATATATCTACATTGATGGAAATTATGTAAGATATATTTTACAAAATCTTTTGACAATATAGGGTTCCATTTTTTAAGTGCGGGGTAAATATATCATGATCGGGTTTGGATACTCCCCGCTACCCAAAAAACAAATAGTGGAGGCACGACTATTTTTAATCACAACCGTTTGATTCATTCTAAATTTAATACTCATCGTACCCTCGTGTGTTGTACTAATTACTAATCCGCAGTTAAATAAAACTCATAATTATCCACTAGATAATCAATGGTTGTGATAACATAATAGTCAATCCACTACATTTCCGTAGCGGAGAGGATCCCTGTCCATTAGGATTTTGTCAACAAAGTTGAACGCAATATTGCTGAAAAGATCGCAGGTAGTTTTAACCATGTGATGGTAAATTGATTTATTATCACTTTCATTATATCGTAAAGATATTTATCCTTCGTTTTGTACTAAGCTGGTCAAGTCTTAACTTTTCAAATGTATGGTGTCAGTTAAAAACCAAAGTTCTCTATATTACCTTGCAATGCAGATAGATAGTGAATATATAATATATTGACCTTCTTCCCTCGTCGGGCCTGGGGCAAAAATTGAACCAAAAAGATTTTATCGTGAAGAAATTGACACGGTGCGATCGGGTACTCCACGTCATCAACCAGCTCAACAATCGTTTCGGTTGTCATTTCATTTATGCCGCCAGCAAAAAAAATAAAAAAAAGTGTCGCTGGATGCTAGCTTTACTATGATATTATTTCGACCCAGACAACCAAAACAAAGGGCCACCAAGCCATTAAGCCCACCCGTCAGGCCCTTAATAGAAATCCAAATGACCAGCCCTCATCGAAATGAACCTCCCTAGCATCTGTCAGCCCCACTGGATTGAAGGCCATTATGGACCTCAATTGTGGGCCTAATGGTTAGCACCTAATTGGGCTGAGTGGAGTAGTGGACCTTTACTTGTGCAGTTGCAGTTACATACTGATGGCAGTTATAACAGAACAATTTTCAAGGAAGCAATACAAAGAAGAAGCTCCAAATTCGCGCGTGGCATATCGGATGGCAAAATAAAGAGTTTTCATTCAGATCATTTAGACATAATAAGTTGTGTTCTCTTAATTAAAACGCTAATATAGTCTTGTATGAATATAATCTATTATCCGATGCGATGCCATAAAATTTGTAAATCCAATGAGTAACTTAATAGAGAAAAGAGGAGAAGGTGAAACCGTGGAACTCTTTTTTAGAGCCATATCATGATATTTAGAAATTAGAGAATCCAATCTTCAACGAATACGTATTGTGGTCATTTTGCCAATTAGCTTATTATATCATGGATTATTTTATTAGAGTACAAAATCTTGTCAACTGGGTCCATAGCTCAGTGGTAGAGCAATTGACTGCAGATCAATAGGTCACCGGTTCGAACCCGGTTGGGCCCTTTCAGTTTTGTTTTTCAATCTTCATCATAATTTGTTTATTTGCAATTTTAATTTTGTTTTTCAATCGTTAAACTATATTAAAAAAAAAATCCTTATCTAGATAATTTAACTATGTCTAAATTTTTGAACGATACACGTTGATGGTGTTTGAATTTACTTTCATGAATGTTAAAATTCAAGTAATTATGATATTAATTTTGTATTTTCATTATTAAACTATTTTGAAGTTTTCCCTTGTCTAGATAATTTAACCATGCTTTAATTTATTTGCAAGATACACGTTTATGGTGCTTCAACCTACTTTCGTGAATGTTTAAAATTCTACTAATTAATTAATCCTATCTTCTAAGCAAATATATGTTGACTTGCCCACCTCAAAATTTGATCTCAGTAGCGTTCACGTTTTGGGGCATGTTACTTGCTCAACATTTTACTAAGTGAATCCACGATGAATTATTCACAATAAGGTATATTGTCGCTCTCAGCTATCTCAAAAGCTGAAGTCATGTTTCAAAATTTGTTCCTTATTAGTCCTACAAATTTTATCTAGATCATGACATTACAAACCTTTTTCCATATTTTATTAACATCAACAATAACGATCTCCACAATAACACCAATGTTTAGAGAGGCACAACAAAAGTAGCACATGGTGTGAGGAATGATTGGTTAAAAGACCATGTGATCTTATCAGTCAGGAGCATGTCTTAAAGTCCCTAACCATTACACCATAACTCTGAAGATGTGATGAGGGTTGGGGGTCATATTATTATATTCTAACATGCCCCTACAGGTTGAGTGCCCATTTTTATGGGCCGGATCCTGGACTCACATAGAGGGGTGAAATTTTAGAAAACCCACTTTAAATTCATGGCTAGTGGGATTTCAACCTGAGTTGTTCTGATACCATCTTAAAATCCCTCTAACAATTGCGTAAAAACCCTGAAGTTATGGTGCGAGTTGAGGGTTATATTTTTATATTCTAACAATGATTAAAAAAGGAAAGGAGTTTATCATTCATGTCGGATTGAAGTTACTGGAGGCTGAACACACTTGGTAGTTAATATCTTTTTTGCCTTGTAGGATGTATACACAGTTAAATGGTTAACTTAGATGTCGCATGCTTCCATTCTCTAAAAGCCAAAAGGTTATCCATTTGCTGTTCTCGTATCGTGGTTGATAGCAAGTGACTTAAATTAAATTGACACAAAATCTAATATTGCAATATGTCATGATTTAATAGTAAATTCCTTTTTAGTTATTCCGTGGACATGCATCAGTTTTGACAACTTGTATGCCTATGCATTCTAAGAAGGATTATGAAATAGCTAGTTATAAAAGATCTATAGCATCTGGTACTTTAGTTACAAAGATTTTCCCCATTTGTCCTGCGAAGAATATGGAAGAAAATTCGTCTAAGTATGTTGTGCACTGTCACGAATCTGGAACCTCTCCATCCACAGGCAAGCACCTCTAAAAATAGGATTTTTTTTTTTTTGAAATAGATCGATTTTGCTAAATATTTAGCAAAATCGATCATTTTGCTAAATATTTAGCAAAATCGACCTCTTTTTGGCCAACAAGCCAAAAAGATGTCGATTTTAAAAAACACCCAGCTGAAAACATAGGGGACTAGTAGTCCCGTATGTTTTCAAGGGCACTAATCTCCCGGAAAACATACGGGACTAGTAGTCCCGTATGTTTTCTGAGAACATTACTCTGTGATTAGCACACTGAAAACATACGGGACTAATAGCTCCGACTAGTAATCCCGTATATTTTATGGGATGTGTTTTTTAAAATCGACCTCTTTTTGGCCTGTTGGTCAAAAAGAGATCGATTTTGCTAAATATTTAGCAAAATCAGTCTATTTAAAAAAAATTCCTAAAAATACCGTAATGCTCGTTTCAGTTGCTATTACCAACATTCACGGGTAAGCACCTCTAAAAACACTCATAATGTTCTTTTCAGTTGATATTACCGACAATCTCATAAACTATCGAGCACTCGTATATGATAAATGACATATGCAAATTTGAATGGCTGGATGGATCATACAAAATGTCATGACTCATGGCAAACTGGCTGCTGCAGATATCTCTGCTAGGAATCTAAGCAAATATCTGAATAACTTTAATAAAGTGAATTCTATGGCTGCTATCTGAATAACTTTAATAATAAAGTGAATTCTATGTCTGCAGATATCTGCTAGGAATCTAAGCAAATATCTGAATAAAGTTAAAGGGTCGTTTGTGTACATAACCCTTAAATCATCAATATTTGTAAATTTACCTCTCAAATCTCACTATTTGCAAAACTCTCTCTCAAATCGTCAATATATGGAAAAAAGTTTACCCCCGCCTAATTCTGTTAAGAAATATTCCCAGAATATTCTATCTTTTGTCAATCTAATGTAAGTAATTAAATTATGATTAGAACACCCCCTACTGTAAGACATGAACAATAACAATAGTTAACACAAAGTTATTATAAAAAATTCAAAATTTTGAGTTTATAGTAACAAAGAATTGATTTGCTCCAATATGGTCGTCATACACCAATACAAAACTATTTCAGAAGCTAATAATAAAAGCCAATTTATTTGCTTTCTTAAAGGTAAGAGAATAAAGTTATTCCACTAACTAATGCCGATCAAGTTTTTCTTTCTTTCTTTTCTTTTTTTTGGATAACCTAGTCCGAAATCGAACACAGGTCCGTGGAAGTCATATTAAAACCTCTCAACTATACAGATCACCCTGATGGGCTAATATCATTCAAGTTTCAATAGGTGGGATTTGCAAATGCATTCATCATTTCATCTTCATATGTACTAGGGACTCTGCTTTTATTTGTGGCATCTACTTTCAGTTTATTATAATTTGTAATTTTAATAGGCATTCTCCTTTAAACCTAGTATTGATGAGATATCCCTACGGATTTGTGTTAAAAATGCAGTCCTACGGGCATATACAAATAACTCATGATATCTAAATGCCTATAACAAAGTTTTGAAATGATAAATAATTAATCCTACAGTAAAAGGGTGTATCTAAAAGTTCCATAAAAGGAAAGGGTGTATCTATAAAAGGAGCCAACTGAGAAAACACAACTGCAATCAAAGAAGATGCGAGTAAACTTCTATTTATCTATTTGTTTTGTTAAAAGAGACTGATGATACTTTTACGATCAGATTTGTAAATGATGGGATGTAGAGAAAGAAAATAAGTTTATATCTAAAATTTTACAGGATCCAAAATTCCCAAAGGATAAATCTCTCCACTGATTGAACTTCAAACTAAGTTCTATCCATTGAAGTGTAAACAACTTACATAGAGTCCTCAGCAAAAAGAAGAAATTATACACTTATTTCCTTTTTTTCCGCTGAGTTTTCTGTTGATTTACAGACTGGTTTCGTATCAAAACTCAGAAAATACATGAACTTTTATCCCTTGCTGCAAATCCGTCCATCCACGTTTGATGGGCGTGCACCAACGCAAATCCTTCTGGAGTTTCAGGCTGCGAAAGCAATTCTACATAGAATAAGAAAACAATTTTTACGAGAATAAGCAACGGACTTTGAATCAGTGTTTACCTTCGAGTGTAATAGCGCGGTCACAATACAACTCTGAGGCCCTTCATCTGCCAAGATTTGGACAGCATGGATTAGTAAGCTGGAAGCGCAATGCTAAATGAAAATACACACACAACTAATAATAATAATACAATACTATATCTATCTGGGAAGAAAAAGATTGTCCACTTGAGTAGGAAGCAAGAACTATTACTATTATTATCTTTGGCAAGAATAGAGAATTTGAATACAAACAATTGTGGAGCTTCTCAATTCGGGTAAAATGTGAAGGTTTTTTTACCACCTGTAGGCCTACCTCAGTGTCATCATCACTCTTCAGCTTGCTCTCACTGTTAGTTTAAGCCTGAATGGGCAACTAGGTTCATGTAATCTTTGCATCAACATTTTGGGGTTAAGCTTTGTGAATCCTTCTTCTGCATTTCTCTTTCTGAAGAGCAAGCTTATCAAATAAGTGGACGATATATCATTTTTCCCCCTTTTCGCAACCCCTATCCGAATTCAATTGTTTTGATGCGAGTCCTTGTCACTCCTTTGAGCATGAACTTATCTCTCCTACTTCCACAAAATAATCCCATGTTACACATGAGAAAACTATCTAAAAACCAAATCTTCCTTGTCTTATCCTTAGCTGAAGCTACCTTTAACTTGTTAAGAATTAAATAATTCCATCCTTTCTTTAAGAAATAGCCAGTCTCAATATTCTAATCTCAGTAGCATGCATTTTTTCGGACATGTTTAATTACTCAACACTCTGATTTACAAAACATGGTTGGTATTACAATCAATCTCCTTCTAGAATTTTTGTTCAACTTTATGGTTATTCATGATCATATGGTACTCCAAAATCACTTCCCCATTTCAAATATCCTGTTTTAACTCTACAGACTAGATTGTCCGCAACCGTCACCATGACTCCATAATCTAACCACCACGAACACACGATGAATTATTCACATTAACTGGTATTATTAGTATCAGTTATTTCATGGCATCAATGTGAATCATAAACTCAGTTCTTGTAACAGCTACAGTTACCTTTCATATATTTCCATATTACTCCCACTAATTTTAGATCATGAAATTCTAAAGCATCTTTTGCTAGTATCCACAATAACACTACTGTTTAAAGAGGCAAGATGGACTTTTTGCATATGCGAGAAGAATAACAATGAAAAAACCACATGCACTTATGTGTGAGAGCATGATAAATAATTGACAAAGGGAGCAAGTTGTGTAACTAACCTGACTGCTCCCATTTATCAAATTTCACTAGCCAAGTATCTGAACCAATCTGAGAAGAAGATACTCTGTCCACCCAAACTTGAAACTGACTTCCTTTTCTATCACCATAATAATGTGCAAATGTATCGATACACTCATGAAGACGACACTCAACTCCAGAAGGATGGACAATAATTCCACTGTGATACTACAACAACAACAATTTATTAGTTGATATTGCATGAAAATACATAAGTTCAGGACAAGATGTCTATTTAATTCATCTATATCATCATGTTTCATCTGAGATTCTTGTTGTTTTCAAGCACAAACAAAGTTTTATGAAATAAAAGTTGTCACTTAGGGAACTATGTTTTTTAAGTGAACTTGCTTTGGGACCTCTGCATCAGTTGAATATGCAAGTTTCTAAAATGTGGCATCATATACCATCTTCTTAATAGTAAAACCAAGAATAACATATTTATATTGAAATACAACAAGAAAAATGTAACTCACTGTTATCCTTTTCATATTCTCAATGATCAATTTAGAGTTTTCTAGCTCAGCTCGACGCCATCTCTCATACAACAAGTAGAACATGACGACCTCATGCCCAGGATTGAATGTCTCTAGCTTGAAAGTAGATAAATCCACAACATCTCTAGGAGACATATTAGGACCCAGCTTGAAATGCCCTATACCTTCAATTATACCTGCTGCACATCTTTCAGTTGCATGAATTATCTTCAGATTATTCTTGCCAATTTCCTTGTACCATTGCAATAACTCCTCTTGGGCATTGCTAACCTACAAATTCACAAACATAAGTCATACAAAAGCGATCTAACAAACAACCGAAGCTCTTCAATGCTAGCAGATTAAACTCACTATCACGCCGTGGACATCAGGAACAATGAACAGCTCAGCATCATTGCCAGAATCACCACAAACGAGAGTATTCACAGGAGTCTTTCCATCCGATTTAAACCTCTTAAGCAAATAGGCTAGAGCTTGACCCTTGCCTGCACCTTGTGGAAGTACATCAATGGCTGTTCCGCTGCTATAAATTATTTTCACATCCAACTGAACAAGACGCAAAATCACATTTTCAAACAACCCAATTTCTTTCCAAAAATTGTAAGTTTGTACAGATCAATCTCACCCCTTGTTTCCCGAGACGTTCATAGAGGGACTGTATCACTCCTTCAGCTTTTCTTTTCTCTATGAAGAAGCTAACCTTATGAGGCCGCTGCTCTGTTGCTGACTACAGTCATATTAATAAACAAACATCTCTAATTCGCTAAAAAAAGTTTAAAAAGAAGGATTTGAGACGTTGGTCTACAAATCCCATCTATGTCGAAAGAAGTCCCTCAAAATTTGATATTACAGAATAAACCCCTCAAAACCCATTACTTACCCCCACATTAGTCCATTATATATGTTCAGTCAATCTGAATGATAGTAACAACTGTTAATCTTTCTATTTTCCTATTATAACCATGTCTTCTGCTCTCCAATTCCTTTTAACAGTCATGAAGGCACTGACTCCTCATAAAACCCATTCAAAACTCACTCTATGTTATATGCTCTTATGTGCAAAATTTATGTTCAGTGTGCAAATTTTAATGGGTCTGGAAGGAGCCATTGTCTGCATAATGGTCATATAGTTTAGAAAACAGAAACTTAAATCAAATGCCGTTAGTTTCTTTAGGAGTTAAACACACAGGTTTAAACTACAGAGACTATCTGGGGATAAATAATGAGATCAAGTTCTTTTGTTTCTATCTTTCGAAATAGATGAGATTCGGGTGATCAATATCTTTAAAATAAAATAAATAAATAACATTTTCTTTTGGAGTTCAGGTATACTACCTGAAACAAGAGCTCGGGAAACTTGGACGTCTCCTCAATGACAACGTCTCGATCCCATTTCTGATCAAGAAACCGCTCCCACTCCTCATCAACAACCATCGTCTCACCATAAGCGATCTCGGTGCCAACCGACATGATCGTGATATCGGGGGTCAGCAAGGGCTTCTCTTTCCTCAGCTCCTTGTACATCGCCGGCGATCTCCCAGTCGAGAACACAAGGAGAGAGTCATGGCGGTAGCTTGATTCCCACAGCGCATCGAATCGAAGCAGCGAGAGGTTATTAGGATCATCATGATCAACCTAATTAAAAGAAAAAGAATCTATCAGTTTTAGAAGCTAGGGTTTGAACTAGTAGACGTTACCATTGTGTTGTCGAGGTCGGAGACGATCATTAGGCGAGCCGGAGCAGCGAGACGATCCATGAGCTTAAGTTGATTTTAAAAAAAGGTGTGAGCTTGGAGATTTGTACAATTTAGGGTTTTTTTTTTCCAGGGAGAACCGAAGGAGAGGGGAGTGAGCGGGAGGGTTGATAGGATCCAGAGTCATCGGCGCTTCTTCGGCTAAAAAGGGACAGCGGCCGGAGTTTGAGAATATTCTGAAGATATTTTTGTCTTTTTATCAGTTTGAAAAATAAAGAAATTTTGGAAATAAATAAATGTGGACTAAATTACAGGATTGTTATTTTTTTTGCATCCCCCTCTTACCAGTTGGCTAAGTTCTGTTATTTTTTCTGAGCCGAATATGCAATTAGACCCAAAACTTCATCGCCGGTGAAAAAAGCTATGGAACCTTTTTTCTTCTAATCTAGCGATTTTTAACCTTTCAAGCTTTTTTTTTCACTATTTTTTATAGTAATTTCATATCCTCTCCTTCTTTATCCTAAAATCTACTTACTTGTAATGGACTCAACATCCTTACTTAAGCTTGAACATAGTTCTTATCCTTACACCATTATGCCAAATAATCTTCGAACGTTTTTCTCATGAATAATACAGCACTAATAGCATCACGTGAGGTTTTTGGCGGCTTTTATCCATTGGCCCGAAGTTTTAGGCCTAATTGCACTTTTGGCTCCAAAAACGCCAAAACGTCACTGGAGCTAGAAAAAATATCAAAGTGGTAGATTGAGTATATAAAAGACACCAATCTGATAGTTTAGCCAAAATGTTCGTTATTTTTTTTTTCTTTGCACGAATTCAGCTGATGATTTAAGACACACACAGGGGCGGAGCTGAATGGGTGCCTCTGGGTTCCTAGGACACCAGTAAAAACTGAATATCTACCAGAGAGCACATATAAAAATAACAAAAGTATAGATGGTTTAGCGGAAAAGGGTCTCAAGGAACCCAGCATGCGCGCGGGTTCGAATCTCGCAAGGAACACAGCATGCGCACGGGTTCGAATTTTTCAGCTTAATGATAGTTTGGTGGCTTATGTTGAGAGAGATGCATTTTCCACCATTACCGATGTATCTATAGGACACCATAGGATTAAAATCCTGGCTCCGCCACTGCACACACACACACGAGCGTTCTTCATTAACATCTCTATTTTCTCTGCTACAAAATACAATGGGATTTGGTAATTAGATTTTAGAGAGCATATGTAGGCAAATAGCACAAAGCACGGATCAAAACAAAGCTTCCGGAGAGGATAACGTCACATACTTACTGCCACCCTTTTTTAGTTGAAGCCTGTCGAGGAGAACAAATACACGAAGTTAAGGATACCAGAATATGCTCTTTTTTGCATTACTTTAACCCAGTAAAGTTACAATTCCACAAGACAGTAGTATGGACGCTATTTCTTCAATACCTTCGCATTAACAACACCGATGACCAGGAGGTTAACAAAAATGCATCCAAGAATCAGAACCCTAAACTAGTACTGACCCCCTGCCACGTCATCCTGTGGTGGGTCCGGATGCTGCGGGGGACCCCCTGCCACATCATCTTTCGCCCATTACCTCCAACCTCCAAGCAGTACCCAAACTTTCTTGCTTCAGATTCTTCACCCATGAAACGGAGGAAAGCCATGTACACTGGTTCAGATCCTAACAAAAATGCTTCCAAGTGCAGACAAAAGTACTGACCGAAGCAGTTGAAAAGCTGGCAAATAAAATTCTAATCAGTTCTCAGAGGAAAACCAAATTAAAGGGAAGTATATCCAATGTTGAAATAAGTTTGACATATGGTCTTCGTTCAAGGCGTTAAAAAAATGACTGGTAATTGTTCCAAAAATTTACTACTAGTTTTGTAACAGAATGACTCAATCCTGGCAAGGCAAGAGCAAGTAGTAGAGAAGCTACTAAATGTGGTAAACTTTCGGCCATCGGGATGGGTCAAGGGTATGCATTCTTATCACCATCATGTCCTGATTTTGACCAAGAAACTTAAAATTCACAACACAAACATATAGTCACATAAAATAATTTAAAAAAATGAAAATGTGATTTCTAAGTCTTAAATAGTCAGATAGTAGGTTGAAGGAAAAATAATCTTGCTAATTCAAAAAAAAAACATACGAATTGGAGCTGAAATATTTGATTTACGGATTAATCAATTACTCATATTTGATGATCAATCTGAGAACAAGATGCTCTCTCTTTAAGTCGTAGTCTTAACAGAATGAAGACCATTGTCTCTAAGGTTTATAAGAAACCAATTAAAAGTGACTTGTGCATTAAAACTTTGATTTTGAAAAGCTCTCAGTACACGTATGAGACAGATCTTTTTACAATAAATCAACCAAAGGGAAGAAAATGAGCTTACTGTTAGCGTCCATGAAACATTATCAACTGAGCATGGGTTTTGCTTCACATATCGGTGATTAAAGGTGCAACCATTCTGAAGATCCACCTTATGGTTCTCCCTTAGATGAGACAAAAGGGACTGGATATCCCCAGTCAAGGGGCAATCTGAACCAGGATGAGGACATTCATATGGCCTGTAAATACATTGTTCTTCATGCTGCAGCCTAGTATAGTAAGGGAATATCTCCTCACAACCAAGGTACTGGTATGAACAGGGCAAGTGGAGTGAAACTGCAAGCTTTTCAAGTGCCAGACATCTTATATTACCGATTTCCTTTCGGCAAATTGGACATTTGTTTTTAACTCTGTTCTTGCAGGCAGAACACAGGGTGTGCCTGTTGGATTTAATCTAATAAATCTATTTGTGGGCACATATGATTAATCAATGTGTATTGCTATCTTTCAGGATAACCCACTAAAGTGATCAATTAAGTTGGGTTAATTTGGTATTTAAATAAGTCATGGGGTTATATGTGCAGATACCAGGTTGTAATTGTAATTTATTGAGGGGCTAAATTACAAAAGTACAACATCTATAAATAAGGGGTTATGGTCCCTAACCTAGGATTACATTCTCTAATTCTCTACACCCCCATCTAGCTAGAGAAATTCGGATTTAGAGAAACCCTAAGGTTAGAAGATCAAAACCCATCTCAAGCAAGATTTCATCCATGGATTCAGGTATAAGCTTCCGCTCTTTTGATTATTGTTAATCTCTTTGAATTAATCATGGCTATATGGTTTTAGATCTCAAGTTTTGATTTAGATCTAACAAGTGGTATCAGAGCCACCTTGATTAATTCTTAGGGATTTAAGTTCTATTGGGTTTTTGATCTTAAATCTCTGGTTAAAGATTCATATTTTTTGGGTTCGGATGAACAGTAAAAATTTTTGTTCGGATGAACAGTAACGAAAAGTTTTTCGGATGAGCAGTAACTGAAAAATCGCCGGTGAACAGTAACTTTTTGGAATTTTTTGGATTTTTCTTTGATTTTTCCTTCAATTTTTTCCAATTCTGGATCTGTTTTGAAAATAAAAATCAAAGATTTTTTGGTTTGACGGCGGCGGTTTCAGTTTGAAACCCTAAGGGTTCATGGCGAAAATTAAGGAGGTGGTTACCTCAAACGAACCTCGCGTTCGTTCAATTTTAACCGAGCTTCGCGCTCAACGAACCTTGCGTTCGTTCTAAGGTGAACCTCGCGTTCAACTAAGGTGAGCGTCAAGCTCAATTTCAACGAACCTCGCGTTCGTTCTAAGGTGAACCTCGCGTTCAACTAAGGTGAGCGTCAAGCTCAATTTCAACGAACCTCGCGTTCGTTCTAAGGTGAACCTCGCGTTCAACTCAGGTGAGCGTCAAGCTCAATTTTTAACGAACCTCGCGTTCGTTCTTCAGACGAACCTCGCGTTCGTACTTCAGACGAACCTCGCGTTCGTACTTCAGACGAACCTCGCGTTCGTACTTCAGACGAACCTCGCGTTCGAACTTCAGACGAACCTCGCGTTCGTACTTCAGACGAACCTCGCGTTCGTACTTCAGACGAACCTCGCGTTCGTACTTCAGACGAACCTCGCGTTCGTACTTCAGACGAACCTCGCGTTCGTACTTCAGACGAACCTCGCGTTCGTACTTCAGACGAACCTCGCGTTCGTACTTCAGACGAACCTCGCGTTCGTACTTCAGACGAACCTCGCGTTCGTACTTCAGACGAACTTCGCGTTCGAACTTCAGACGAACCTCGTGTTCATTTTTAAACGAACCTCGCGTTCGTTCCCAAGTTGAACCTCGCGTTCTTTTATCTTCGGTCGAGCCTCGCGTTCGAGCTTCAGACGAACCTCACGTTCGTGCTTAAGTGAGTCTCGTACTCAATACAGTCGAACCTCGCGTTCGAAGTTAAGGGAACTTCGTGTTCATTATGGTTAAGCCTCGGCTTTTCATGGGTCCACTTTGGTATACTTAATTTATTCAATTAAGTTATGGGCCCTAATTAAGTTGTGAGACCCCAATTAAGTTTTTGGAAATTCAGTTGATTTAAATTAAAACTTTTTAATTTAAATCTAATTTGGTTTTTAATCAATTATTTAATTCAAATATTATGACACTAAGGTATTAAGGTTGTCTCTCACTCCAATTGATTAATTGAAACAAGAAGTTGCCAAAGTAACCTCTCTTGTGTAGATTGTTCATGAGGAATGTGAGATGTTTGTGTGTATGCTTTCGTGTAAATATTTAATCGGCCCAAAGGAAGGTTAATATTTATTTAGACTGTATACACATCTGCGATGATAAGCGTGTGACAATTATAAGGTTTACATGTGAATAATGAATCGATCCAAAGATAGTTTCATTATTTGACATGAGTTATTGTCAATGTTTGATCATTGCAACAAGGTATCACTTACAAGTTAATATTACTGTCCAAAGACTTGATATTAATGTTGTGCCGGTATCTTGGATGGGGATTGTCATTATTTGAATTTTATTGATTATGGTTATTGATGTGAGCATTTTTGTTTTATTTCAGCTAATGCATCTGCTGCAACAATTTCTGCTAACATCAACTCAATTCCCATGCTAAATGGGACAAACTTCAAGGTTTGGAAAGAGAACATATTAATTGTTCTTGGCTGCATGGATCTTGACTATGCATTAAGAACTGAACAACCCCAACCTCTCAATGCGGATAGCACTCCTGATGCAAAGAAGGAGCATGAGAAGTGGGAGCGTTCAAATCGCATGAGTCTTATGATCATTAAGCGCGGCGTTCCGGAAGCCTTCAGGGGCATA